AACAACAACAGCAATAACAACAACAACAACCAACAACAACAATAACCAACAACAATGACAACAACAACAATAACAACAACGATAACAACAACGATAACAACAACAACAACAACAACAACAATAACCAACAACAATAACAACAACAACAATAACAACTAGTATTAATACTAAATAACTTCTAGCTCACATTAACAGAATTATAATGATAACCTTTCAGTATTTGTTACCAAGTGATATCAAATGATAGCCGTATCAATCACTGCCACATTATTCGAGATATGCCTATATAGGGGAGTGAAAAAAAGGGAAAGAGAATGAAAAGGATGGCTTAAAGATAAAAATTGTTTTTGTAATCAATTACAGATGGGAGGCTTTTTGAATTAGCAAATAACAATTTGGTTCATTATGGCCATAGAATGCACTTTAAAGAAGAATTGATTGAAATAAATTTGAAAAAAGCTATGCGAATAATTCAAGGAAGAGAATTAATTACAGCATAGATATTCCGGTATATTTTCCGTTTTCATTTCATTAATACTTCAAGTAATGGTTTAATTCACTGAATATTAATGTATCGATTCAGGAAAAGGAATTATTTTCCGGTTATATATATATATATATATCAATCCGGTTATATATATATCGGAATTATTTTCCGGTTATATACATATCAATCCGGTTATATATACATATATCAATCATATAGTTTCCTTTTTCATTTCATTCATACATATAATCTTATTTTTATTAAATGTTAAGTTTTCATCACAAATATTTTTTTGATTAAATGTAAAAAATGAAAATTGCATGTAACTTACCAGCCATTGATAATTCTGGAACGGTGGCATTACCGGTAAATAATGATTCACCTTCAGATAAATAACCGGATGGATGATGTGGTACTGCGCATCGGATAGTTGTTGAAATGGAATCTAATGAATCATCACTTGTTGAACTATCTCGAAGTGATCCTATAAATAATACATATATAAAAAGGTTAAGAAGAATGGGAGTACAAATTATAATCACCAGAAATGTAAACAAAACAAAACGGAAGAGGATAATCAAATGGTAGTATTCGTTGACCTTTGACATCAACAATTTCACACATTCATCTCATTTTTTGCTTTATTTCATTTCATAAAAATATGTATTATAAGGAATTTAAAATAACACACATTAATTCCATGGTATTATTTAAGTAAAAAAAAAAGGTTTTTAGAAATTAATTAAAAATTAAAAAGTTAATTTGATGAAAAAAAAAACAATGGATGGAAAAGAGATGGAAAAGAATACGATATATAAATTTAAATATTATGGATTAAATTTACAGCTGGATAAAATTATCAGCTTATAAAGTTGTAGCGTTGATTGGATTAAACCTAATGGTTAGTTAAATTAATTATTCAAATTTGCTACCAATTTGTGGTTATTACTTGGTAAACAATTTTTCAGCACTTACAACAAAAATGATCAAATTTTAAACGGTAATATTTAATTGAAATTTGGAATAACTAATCGGAATTAATCCTGATAATTTAATTATTTTAGTGATAAATATCATTAATTAAGTTGTATTTTGAATTTGCTCACTCGTCTTTTTTTTCCCACTGGAAATAAATCAATATACCGGCAATAAGTAGTAAAAATATGATATAGCATAGTGTATGGTTAAGCAGAAAAAAAAAGATAGGTCAAATTTTGTTTAAAAAAATTTGTTTTAAAATCATTGAAATTTTATTTTAGAATCATTTAAAAAATGAACGAAGAAAAGATTTTCACAAATTTTAAATTAAAAATTTCATTTATTTTATTAATTATTTGAAAAATTTATTCTAATTACTAAAAAATAAATCAAGCATTATGAATAAAATTAAAAAATAAACAAAAAATTTTTTTCTTATTTCTAATAAATGAGAAAAAATAAAAACACAAACATATATACATATACACCTATCCCAATAAATAATAAATAACTATTCTTCTGTATAAAATTGTCACAGAAAGAGTTTTGGTAAAAGAAATGACTTCATTAATTATCTTAATGTTAGAATAATTGTCACCCCCCGCGTAGTTAAGGTAAGTATATAGATGTATAGGTAGTTAGATATCCTAATATAGTTGAAAGCATTATTCATATCATCATTATCTCATCTAATGACCGTAACAAATTTTCATCAAATTTCTTTACAAGCATTAAAACCGAATACTTTTTTCCATTTCCTATTGCAAGCTATTTAACCGGATATTAAATATGCTATTACTTATCCAAATAATTTCTAACCGGATATTAATCATACCATTACTCATTCATCAAACATTTCCTTATCGGATATCAAAAGATGTTGTGGTAACCGGATATCAATGTTGCCAACAGTTATCAATCAATTGTTTATAAGATGTAGAGAAGTATTTAGCCGAATATTTACTATTAAAATTTATCAAATTCATTTCTTTTTCTTTTTTTTTTAATTTATCAAATTTAGAATCGAAGATTTCAACCAATATTATCATATCAAATATCTATCTATCTATTTATGATATTTTTGAATAAAATAAAAATAAAAACAAATAGATTATCATAGTAACAATGAAATTTGTAAAAGTGAATTTTGTTAAATTTAAAAATAAAAAAAGTGATGAATATTTAATTTCGAAAAAACAAAAAACGATATAAAATGATAAGAAAAAAGAAATGTTACCATTTCTCGTAGCAGATGGATGAGTATTTTGTCGATATGTTTTCCCATTTTTTAGAACAACATTATAAGGTGGTGGTACTAATGGTATAATTGGTTCCATTGGTGGAATTCCTTCAAGATCTGATCCAGGAAATGTAGCAGTAATATTACTCTTTGAAGGAGTTGTAATTTCTGATGTTGTTACACCACAATTAGAATCAAATGTTGTCTCCAGGTGACTATTTGTTCGTACAGGTGGCAATGGTCTATAAATATGAATTGATAATGACAGGTATAAAGGCTTAATGATGATGACATGACAAATGAGTAAACAATATAAGAAATCAATTATTCCAAAAATTGTTTTTCGCTTATATGCAATGCATTGCAATAATAATAATAGTATAATAATAATAGTAATAATAATAATAATAATAAAATATTTTTTTTTCACCAAAAATACATTTACAAATAATATTTGATTATATATTATTAAATTTTAAAATAGCCACTTTATTTATTTTAAATAATTTATAACTTACGGAGCTTTTTTATCTTTAATAGTTGAATTATCTGCTAATGAATTTGCATCATCAATAGTTGGATTGTATATGACACTTGCATTATCGGAATCACGACTTCCTGATGTTGTCGAAGTATCACTTTGATTACCACCATCTAAAAAATGATAATTACAAAAAAAAACCAAATAATAATAATCTATTAATTTATATGTTACTATAAAATAACAGTAATAATAATAATAATAATCTATTAATTAAAAAATTTAAAAAAATAACAATAATAATAATAATCTATTAATTAAAAAATTTAAAAAAATAACAATAATAATAATAATCTATTAATTTATATGTTACCATAAATAAAACAAATAATTAATTAATATTTTCGGAAATTAAAATTTGATTAGTAAGCATACCAGCAATACCACTGTTGGATGTTTGTGGCAATTTGATAACTCGATGATTCATCATTGGACTTACAACACCAACTGTTGGACTTTGAGATGGAACAATACTTTTGGTTGTTTTGGTTGTTGAAAATGTTGATGAAGCATTTCCTGTTACTGATGTATTTGAAGTTGTTACCGTTGTGGTGATTTCAGGTTGTTGTCCGGAATCCAAACTGGATGAAAATTGTTTTGATTGTAATACTTCATCAGGAATTGGTGAATTTTGAGGAATGGTTGTTGTA